TTGTGTTATTCCATTCTGGTGTGTGTAGAAATTTCAGCCTAGCGCAGTGGGAATTAGCAATTCAAAGCTACAGCAAATCATTCAAAATCTACTCTTGCCTTCCAGGACCGCCAAGTGAACTCAGAACAGTAGGAAGAAGAAACTTTTTAAAAGAGTTTTAATTCTGGAGCCCGGATTTCTAAAGTCTCTGATTTATTTGCTCAGCAATCAACATTTGGCTGAGAAGTTTCTACCAAATCTAACCAAGTGGTAAATTAAGGATTAAGTGTCCAGAAATCTGAGCTTCATTATCCAGCCTAGGTGTGACGCTTAACATTGTCTCTCTTGCCTTGATTTCCTGTGGGTTTTTTTTTTTCATTCCAGTTGTCAATTGACGTTCTTCTCATCATCAACATTGCTCTGATTTTTCCCCCTCTAAGGACTTCCGTACATCTGCAAATCCATCCTCAAATCTTGTACCTTCCTTGTAAGGGGAGGATGCATTTGAGGGGGAGACATCAAGACCGCATAAAGTGAAAGTGCATTAGATTATTCCTAAGCATAAATATTCAAGGGCTGCTGACTTCTTCCTGATCATGTCCCCTTGGCAGAAATTTACTCCAGCAGTGAAATCACAATTCAGGCCACAGATGGGAGCCCGCCCCACGCCTGGAGCTTTTTAAATGAAAGTCGCAGTGTCTTACTGCTGTTTGACTCGCCAAATACACATCTTTGTGGTGAAATTCCCCTGGCAAACAGTAAATTTGGCAGAAAAACCTCCTTCCAGGTTTTCTTATAAAAATACTCGATCAATCTTTACCATTTGTTCTCAGGGTGAATTTTGAGGGCCAGCGTGGAAGATCATTTCCTGGATAGGTAGACCTCGACTTTAAAACCCATTTCTTTAGTGGCCGAAGTTAACAACGGCACTGGAAAATTGACTGAGGACTGATTTTCAAATTTAACAACCATCGCATTGCAGTCGTGCGATCAAAATTCAGACACTTGCAACTGGTTCTGATTGATGACCGTTGCAGTGTCCCAGGGTCAGGCGATCACCTTTTTGCGACCTTATGACAAACAAAAGTCCGCGGCAAAGCTAAATTTGCTTAATGATCGGGGTTTCCCTGCCTGAGCAGGGGGTTGTTCTAGAAGACCTCCAACTCCTGTTATTCTGATTGCATGATTCGCTTATCCACTGGACTGAATCACTTAAGTGCAGCAAAACAGGTCGTAAAATGGGGCAAAACTCGCTTAACCACTGCCCTGGTTAGCAATGGAAAATTTTAGTCGTAAGTCGAGGACTACCTGTTGGGTTGTGACTTCCGCAAGGCTGTAAGGATCCTTGTGCTGGATTATTTGGAGCAAAGCTCTGGAATTGGACGGTGCTTTTGAGAAAATCTTGGGGAACCAGCCGCCAAAAGATTCGTAACTTCTATTTAGACATGCCTGGTTTGATACTCAAAACTTGTATCAACCCAGTGAAGCCAAATTATTTTCATTTATAATATTTATCTGCCACCCATCTCACTGAAATTACAAAATTACAAAGGATGAAGTCTAAAAACAAAACAAAAAAACCTCACAGGCTCCAGGAGCGGAAGTGGTGCCTTAATATGCATTAAAAAAAAAAAAGATAACCAATCTATTACTCCCCTCCTCAACCTTCCAACTAGCATGACTACTAATGTAAGAATTCATTTTTTCTTCCCCCAACCCATTGGGAGGGAGGGAGGAGGAAAAATGAAATTGGATAATAGCCAAAAAAGCCAAGAGATGTTGCAGGTGCAGGAGTGGCCATCCAGCCTGACTTTGAAAAGTTCACGCGGAGGGATTAACAGGCATCCATTGAGGAGGACGACCTGATTTTGCACCGCACAGCTGAGGCCCACCAGAGCTTTGCCTTCCACCACTCCAGCTTCTTTGGGCTTCCGTTTCTCATTTCTGGGATCAGGAAGACACGTCAGAAGCTTCTGGAGACACCATCTGAGGTCGGGTTCCTGCTTTAAAGTTGCAAACCCCACCGGGAGAACTGCGAACGTTTCTGTTGCCTCCGGGACACCTATCTAAGATGGACTTAGAATACTGACAGGGCCACAATTGAGCCCAACACTTCCGTTGCTATACAAAGCAGTTGTTAAGTGGATTGTGCCCCATTTTATGACCTTTACTGCAGGTGTTAAGGGAGTCATGCGGTCATTAAGTAAATCTGGCTCCCCCCGTTAACTTTGCTTGTTGCGAGCCTGCTGGGAAGATTACAGAAGGTGATCAGTGGACCCCATGACAATGCAACAGTCAAATGCATGGCAGTTGCCAAGCACCCAAATTTTGATCATGTCATCCTGGGGATGCTGTTGTAACTTTGAATAGTAACTGAATGGTTGTAAGCCAAAGACTACACGTATGAGAAGAGAAAGGAGTATAGAGGGGGGAAGAAGAAGAAGAAGAAGAAGAAGAAGAAGAAGAAGAAGTTGTTTATATCCGGTTTGAGGAGGAGGAGGAGGAGAAAAAGGAGGAGGAAGAGGAAAAGAAGAAGGAGAAGAAGAAGGGGGTCCTTGATGCTCTCGGAGCTCGGTCTGCTTCTGGAGCCTGTAGCACTACTTTCTTTAAGAATGAATACAAGGCATAAAATCTATTCAGGAAACGCTGCCGTGCATGCTATACTATCCTCTGTTGTGCAAATGCAACAGGAAAATCCCATGTCTATACCCTATACCCTATCACCCCCCCCCCCGGATACGCAGTCATCTACTTTAAAAGAAATTACATGCACAAAAAAAGAAACAGAAATACAAACAGTGTTTCGTTGTAATGTTGCCTTTTACCCTAAATTTGTTAGGTCTCATTGCTATCTTGTCTTTTATACTCTGATGCAGCCTTGCAACTAATCAATAATGTACCATTACTATTACACAAAGCAAAAGGACACAGTTGCAGATTTGGGTATCTGTGTACTTCAAATATACATTTCTTGTTTGTTTTTAAATGAAAGATTTTAGAGCCCAAATCACCCATTTTAGCAAAAATGGAGCAAGATAGTAGCCATAAAGCACATCTTTTCTTCAAGTATACGAATCAAAATAAACTTAATATAATAAACATATCAAAGAAAGGGCACCTGGCTGGAGGCCCATTGCTTTGATTGTCTAGAACTACATATATCTTGAAGCTTGGTTTCTGTGGCCCTTTGGATGCTCTCTTAACTAGGCAGATTTTTGAACAAGACCTGCTGCATCTTTGCACACTTCCGTACGCCATGAGGCGACTACTGCTGTGTTTGAACCAGTGTTCCCCAGCTCCCCACCACGCTCGTTGGCTTGGATGGTTCAAGGAGCTAGTCCGGGAAGTAGCGCTGTGTTGTGGTCTGTGCTGTCACACTCTTACAGTCCCTGGCAAAATGTGTCATGGATGAGCAGCACCCGAAGCAGATGCGATTTCTCTTTTAGGAGAGCAGTCTTCCAGAGCAGGGATCCCCAACTTCTGGTCTATGGACCAGTACCGGGCCACGGCATGCCAGCAACTGGGCCACACAAAAAAGCAAAGCCCTATCTGTGGGATGCAGGCAGCACACAAAACCACGCACTCTCCGGTCTGCAGAAAAACCTCTCTCCACAGAATCGGTCCCTGATGTCCAAAAAGTTGGGGACCTCTGCTGTACAGACTTCTCCCTGAAGGTCCTGCATTTCAGAAGAGGATGCAGCTTCCTGCGTAGAGGACACTGCTTACTGGGGTTAGTCGTTTTATGCACGGCCATCGACAAACTGGTTTTGTCTGAGGTTGGGTGGTGTGCCCTGCTCCAGTATGAAGGCAAAACTGGGATCAGTCCCCATCTTTGCTTGCTCCGTGACAAAGCTTACAAGCACTCTTGGTGGGAATGGCAGCTTGAATTTTGTCTTTTGTTCGAACCGGCATGTAACCCACTTCTGTTGTAGGTCATGAGGGAGCTTCACGACTGGGTGTAATCCCCCCCCACCCCCCACCCCACCCCGGCCGTGTCCAGGAAAAGAGAGGTCTTGCCCATCACTCCTTGCTTTGGCAGATTGTGGTCCTTGCAAGAAATCACTTAGTTCTCTGAGCTTGTGGTACCCTCTGGTGGATATTTCAGGAAAATCCTCCATTCTCTTTAAAAGGGCACTCTCAATTGCCTCTGCCGAGCCATAACGCTCCTCTAATCTGTCCCAGATCATCTGAAGACCAGTTTCTGGGTCTTTTATGTAAATGTTCCTGATCCTCCTGGCGTGCTCAGCAGAGTTTTTCCCAAGACATTGATCTAAGACAGGGGTCTTCAAACTTGGCTGGCTGAGGAATTCTGGGAGTTGAAGTCCACAAGTCATCAAAGGGCCAAGTTCGAAGACCTCTGGTCTAATATATCAACTCCTCAGCGCATGATAGGTCTCTCCTAGGTGCATTAGGCTAGACCCCTTATTGCATTTTGGAAGAAAGATTGCCAGATTCTGTCGTTTCCTGGATGATCATCAAACTTTCCAAAGTCCTTTGGTGATGGGCTCATGTCTAGCAAGGAACTTGGCCAAGTAAATGATGGCTTGATTTGCGCGTGGCTAAGGGGGTGATGCACTGCTATAGCCTGAGTGTGGTGTGTGCGATCATATCTGCCAGGTGGTTCTGCTTTAGGCCAGCCTGTGTCGCACGGTTGAGTGGAGGGAGTAACCTGTCGCTGGTATGGTTACTGAGACTTGCGGTGTGTAGAGAAGTGGGCGTCTTTTGTTTCATACATTGGGACTTTTTCTTCTTGTAATACTGAGTTGCTTCGTATTGGTAAGAATTCTCTTGTCTGCTGCGATGGGATTCTGGGTTGACTTCCTGCTTCGATATCGGTGGTGTGCAGATGACTTTTATGATGATACCCTTGGATTCCTGCGGCGGAGAAATGTCTCCAGCTGATCTTGAACGATGGTACACATGCTCTATAGCAGTGGTTCTCAACCTTTCTAATGCCGCGACCCCATAATACAGTTCCCCATGTTGTGGTGACCCCCAACCACTTATACATCACCGGGTGCCAGGGGCGTGGCCAAAGAAAAGGGGAAAAAAATGGCAGGACAGCCTTGTTTGGCGACCCCCGTGAAATGGTCGTTCGACCCCAAATGGGGTCCCGACCCCCAGGTTGAGAACCACTGCTCTATAGTGTGTTGTGTAGAATCTTGCTCTTCATGCTCTGAATGTCTATGGAGATTCTCGGTCATCGTGGTTGTCCCAAAGGTGCTTTTTTTAAGGAGGCAACGGGACTTTATCCGAGAAGCTTCTTCAGCTCTGACTGGATGGTGGGGGAATGGAAGGATTTATACTCCTTGCAGACAGCTGGTCATTTGCATCCTTTCAGAGAGTTGTTGAAGCCATCTGTGTCCACTGAACAACCCTGTGACTAACTTAACCTCTGTGGCAAGGCTGCAAAATGGAGCAAAACTCACTTAGCAACAGAAATACGGGGTTTCATTATGGCCGTAACTCAAGGGCCACCTGTACTTTGGCCAGCCAAGGTCAGGATTGGCAAACTTACTTATAAGCTAGTTAAACAGAAATAAATCAACCCTGTTCTGCCAGGGCAGAAAATGTTCCGAGGACACAACACAGCTTAATTCAGGAACCAGTAAGAAAAGGCCGAGTCTGAGAATTTTACTGGAATTTTCTTTCCCCTTGAAAAGTCTCAAATTCACTTTTTCCCCCATTGCACAGGTTTGCTCCTGCTAGTGAGTGTCTCAGTTTACCTGGAGTTTCAGAGCTGGTCAAAAAAAGTTCACCATCCCCTTGTTCTGACGTGTATATTCGGATTTCAGCATTCGGAAGAGGTTTTTCCAAGATCCAGGTGACTTTTTTGTGTTTGTGCATCTGTGTTCTGATTTTAACGTTTGGAAGATTTTTTTTCCCCCCCAGGTGCAAATGACTTTCTGGTGTGTGCGTGTGTTTCGTTTCCGGTGTTTGGAAGAGTTTTTTCCTAAGGTTCAAGCGACTTTTTTTTGGTCTTCCGATTTTGGTGTTCGGAAGAGGTTTTCCTAGATCCAAGTGACTTTTGGGTATGTAGGTGTTTGTGCAGATTTTAGTGTTTAAAAGAGGTTTTTCCCAAGGTTCACACAAATGACTTTTTGGTGTGTGCATTCTGATTTTGGCCTTTGGAAAGGTTTTCCCAAGATTCAAATCACTTTTGGGTGGGTGCGTGTTCATTGCAAACACAGGAAAGGGGGTACATTTGTCAGGGACCACCCATTTCTCTAAGCAAGTGTGGTGGGCTTTTTACGGGAAGCTGCAGTGTGCGACTCCCCCCACAAACACACTCCCAGGATCCAGATGGCCACATTTGCTCCTTCTAAACCTCCATTTGCCCCTTTTTTCCATTCTGAATCCCATCTCCCAAAAACTGTTAGTAAAGGAAACAGGAAGAGAATTACTTTATCTCGCATCTTTCCCAAATCCCAACGTTCTCGGTACTACAGGGTTTTTTTTTTGTTTAACCACTGGCAACAGGAAACAAAGGAGGGAGATGGCTGGGTCTGGGAAAGCACCATAAAACTGAGCTCTCTCCCTCCCACCCCAGTTTTTTCCAAATTAATTCCCAGGTTGCAACAAACCACAGCCTGTAGTTCTATGCCACGGAGAGGATTTGAGGCTTTTCCAAAGTGGGCAAGATTCTGGCTTATTCATCTCCTGAAAAATCTTGTGCAGAGACCCTTGTCCCTGTCTATTTATCTCTATTTATCTCCATCCATCCATCCATCCAAACTCATATCTACCTATCTATCTATCTATCTATCTATCTATCTATCTCTGTCTCTATCCATCCATCCATCCATCTCATATCCATCCATCCATCCATCCATCTATCTGTCTGTCTGTCTGTCTATCTCTATCTCTGTCTATTTATCTCTATCCATCCATCCATCCATCCATCTCATATCCATCTCATCTATCCATCTCATATCTATCTATCTATCTATCTATCTATCTATCTATCTATCTCTATTTATCTCTATCCATCCACCCATCTTATATATCCATTTCATCTCATTTTATCTCATCTATCCATCTCATCTATCTATCCATCCGTCTGTCTATTTATCTCCATCCATCTAACCATCTATCCATCTACCCTATCTCTCCTTCTCTCTCTCTCTCTCTCTCTCTCTCTCTCTTCCCTACCCCAATATATCTTACACATTTGCATTCTATCTCCCCTCCCCACCCCCAGGCTTGCTTGCTGGAGACTTTTTGACCTCCTTCATTTATGGGTATTGCTTAACCACATGTGTCTTTTTTTTTTTTTAAAGAAAAATAAAAGCTATTTCTTTGAGGACTGCCAAGCCAAGCGAGGGTGATACGGGCATCTGAAGTGGGGGGGGAGGAGGTATTTCAAATGTGGGGGATGGAATTCTCCCCCCTGCCCCCCTTCTTTCCAGAGGGAACGAGCTGTTCAGTGGTCCACCAAACTGGAAGTAATTCCTTTTTCTTTCTTTCTCTTTTTTTACCTCTTGCCTTCGCCCCCTTGTCCTTTCCTGTTTCATTCAACCCTTGACAAATGGCTGGAGAGCAGAGACCCACCCTCCTGTCCCCCCCCCCTTCCCCACCACCTCTCCTTTCAAGTCCCCTTCCTCTTGATTGACTCAAGACCTCCTGGGACGGGGAGGGGGGGACGGTGGAGGCCTTGGGGTCACCACCTCCCGTTTCTTCAAAGGCCCTGCGGCTGCACGCAGCTGCCTGCCCTGGAAGGGGTTAGCAGCCGAGCGAAATACAAAACAGAGGGAGGCTCAAGCGGCTCCCCCCTCACCCAGTTCATTCCAGTTCGAACTGACGTTGGCCAGTTCCAGGCTGAGCAGCAGGGACGAGGCGGTGGGGGAGAGGGGAGGGGGCTCCCCTTGGACCACCACGGCTTCCTCCAAAGCCTTTGGGGTACCTGGACATCTTGTGGTTAAATGGGAAAGCAATGTTTGGATTGATTTAATTGTATTATTTTACATGTAATTCAGGGTGGCGAATGGGTTTTAACCCCCCCTTCCCCTTCTTCTTTTCCTCACAGCAACCTTGTGAGGTGGGTTGGGCTGAGAGAGAGGGATTGGCCCAAGCTGGGTTTCACAGTTAAGGCGGGACTAGAACTCACCCTCTCCTGGCGATTGGCCCAAAGTCACCTAGCTGGTTTCGACGGTTAAGGCAGGACTAGAACTCAACGGTCTCCTGGTGATTGGCCCTATGTCACCTAGCTGGTTTTCACGGTTAAGGCGGGACTAGAACTCACCGTCTCCTGGTGATTGGCCCTATGTCACCTAGCTGGTTTTCACGGTTAAGGCGGGACTAGAACTCACCGTCTCCTGGTGATTGGCCCTATGTCACTAGCTGGTTTTCACGGTTAAGGTGGGACTAGAACTCACCGTCTCCTGGTGATTGGCCCTATGTCACCTAGCTGGTTTTCACGGTTAAGGCGGGACTAGAACTCACCGTCTCCTGGCGATTGGCCCAAAGTCACCTAGCTGGTTTCGACGGTTAAGGCGGGACTAGAACTCACCGTCTCCTGGCGATTGGCCCAAAGTCACCTAGCTGGTTTCCACGATTAAGGCGGGACTAGAACTCACCATCTCCTGGCGATTGGCCCAAAGTCACCTAGCTGGTTTCCACGATTAAGGCGGGACTAGAACTCACCGTCTCCTGGCGATTGGCCCAAAGTCACCTAGCTGGTTTCCACGATTAAGGCGGGACTAGAACTCACCGTCTCCTGGCGATTGGCCCAAAGTCACCTAGCTGGTTTCCACGATTAAGGCGGGACTAGAACTCACCGTCTCCTGGCGATTGGCCCAAAGTCACCTAGCTGGTTTTTGTGACTAAGGCGGGACTAGAACTCACCGTGACTTTGCTTGTCAGAGTGTCGAAAATGATGCTCTCGTGACCTCAAGACATTGCAACTGTCACAAACACAAACCAGTTGCCAAGTGTCCTCATCACAGGACCAGGGAGGATGTACAGCGGTCATAAGCGTGAAAAAAAGCCAGTCACAAATCACTGTTTTCAGTGTAAACGAAACCGTTGTAAGTTAAGGACCGCCTGCATCTCTCTCAACTGCCCAGGGTCACCAAGATAGTGAGATGGGCCCTGTCTAAATTTGATGGGCAAGCAAATCAATCAGTCAACGCCAAGGAGCAGGAGTTGGGTTGCAAACCATCGTCTCTAGTATATGAATCCCCCATCCTAGCTTAAGGACCAGGAATCCCCAGACAGAAGCAAATCCTCAGCTATGGTTTTAAGGTTGGGGTGGGAGGGAGTGCAGGGGGGGGGGGAACAGGAGGGAAGGTTGCCCTTCCAAGATCCCAAGGAGCAATTAATCCATTCTCCCCCCCCCACCTCCCACCCAGCTTTTTCCCTGTTGATTTATGGAGTGGCTGATGCCCTTTCATTATTGCACTGCTAGAGGTGAAGCAGGACAGGAGCGCAACAAAGAAAGAGTAGCAGACTGCCCCAAAGCATGCTTTTGGCACTCCCAACACACACACAAACACAGAGAAAAACATACACAGAGAGAGACTGCTGGCTGAGAACAGAGCTGGGGATGGTGATGAGGGAGCCTGCACATAAGCCTTTATTTCTATAAAGAATTCTAGCATAGAAGGAAAAAGAAAGAAGAAAGGAAGGGAGGGAGGGGAGGGAGGAGGGAAAGAAAGAAAGGAGAAAGAGAGAGAGAGAGAGAGAGAGAGAGAAAGGAAAAGGAGGGAAGGAGGAGAGGGAAAGGAAGGAAGGAGAGGGAGAAAGGAGAGGGAAAGAAGGTGGAAGGAAAGAAAGAGAAGAAAGGGAGAAAGGGAGAAAGAAAGAAAGAAAGAAAGAAAGAAAGAGGGAATGTGGGAGAGGGACAAAATAATTTATTTTATTAAAACCTCTAAGTTGTATATACCCGTGAAACAAATACAAATAAATCTGGGGTCCCCTAAAGGGGTTGCATTTTAAAATGGAAAACTTCCCCTGTTGCTGTTGCTGCTGCTGCTGCTGCTTTTTTCTTTTCCTTTTTAATGAATTTGCTGAAATGCAAAAAAGGAATCGATTGTTTTAAAGAAATGGGTCCAAATACGAGGGGACAGACAGGCACACTTTCCCAGTCTTAAGACTTCAAACAAACGAACCAACTTCCCCTGAATTCAGCCCTTTCCCCCTAACCACCCTTCCAGTGCCACCCTCTCCATTCCGGGGTGCCGGGGTTTTTTTTTTTGGTTGCTGGAATTTTATTTTTATTTCCAAATAAAACCTGCTCCTCTTCAGCTACCCTGGGTGGTTCGCGACAGCCACGAAACCCACACACACGGCTGCAAAAAAAAAAAAAAAAAAGATAACCAGGACGCAATCAAAACATGATAATTCTTGGAAAGTCAGAAAGGAAAGGAACTTAAAAAGCACCTAGCATGTTCATTGACGTGGGTTCAGAGGACAGCTTGTCCCATCGTGCTCCCTGCTCCTACAGCCCCAGTGCTTAGCCCCCCCATCCCACCCTCGCTGCAGCCCATCCCTGCCACCACCCCCCACCCTCGCTGCAGCCCATCCCCTGCCACTTTCTTTCTCCCCCCCCCATCCTTAGAAGCTTGATTTTCTCCATTGCTTTTTTTTTTTTTTTTTTGCAATCTGTTCGGCCAACATCTCAGCCCCCCCCCTCGCCTCCTGCCTCGAGAAGAGCAGAGCCAGCAGACCACCTGAAAACCATCGGAGGCCACCCACTTGGCTTGGTCCCAAAGCCCTCTTCTTCTTCTCCTCGGTATAATTTACAAAGAGAGCTGAGAAGGGATTTAACACCCTTCCCTCCCTCCTTCCCACATGCTTTAGGAAAGAGAGAAGAGGACTTTGGGATGAAGTGGGGAAGGGGTGTCGACCACAACTCCTCCTGGCCAATTTGCCACTCTTGGGACAACTCACAACCCGGGACATGAGTTACATTAAAGTCAAAGAAATAGTGGGGATAGACTCCTTAAATAATAATAACAAAAGATGCCAAAGGAGGCACAAAATGAAATGCGAATGACAAAAATTAAGATAGATAGACAGACAGACAGACAGACAGACAGACAGACAGATAGATAGATAGATAGATAGATAGATAGATAGATAGATAGATAGATAGATAGATAGATAAAATTTAGAACAGAATAGAGCTGGAAGGGACCTTGGAGGTCTTCTAGTCCAGCCCCCCACCCCCCTGCTCAAGCAGGAGAACTGATACCATTTCAGACAAGTGACTGTCCAGTCTCCTCTTAAAAACTTCCAGCAATGGAGCGCCCATAATTTCTGGAGGCCAGCTGTTCCACTGGTTAATTGTCCTCACTGTCAGGAAGTTTCTCCTTAATTCCAGGCTGCTTTTCTCTTTGGGTCGGTTGTCGTTTCTCATCCTGCCCTCTGGTGCTCTGGGGAACAACCCGGCCTATTTAAATTTAAGTAATTTAATTTAAACAAATAATTTAAGCAATTAAATTGAATTGTGTGGAATTGTCCAGCGACGTCAATTTCGTCCCGGGGCGAAATTAGCCATGGCTAATTCCAGGCTTGGGTACACTGTGCAAGAGAAATTGCTGGAGTGTGTTTGTGTGTGTGTGTGTGTGTGTGTGTGTCCTCATTTTAAAAGAAAGCAAAGGAGGGAGAGGCTGTGGACTGTTTACACTTGGGTCCACTCCGTTTGCAACTGAGAGCAAAATGCAGCAAGACCCCAAAATAAGCGATGTCAAGGTACATCACTTCTAAGTTTTTTTTTTAATTACGCTTATTTTGTGGTTCTACTTTTTACCTTAAGTTGTTTTATCACACCGACATTACACTTATTTTATTTTACAGGTAGTCCTCGATTTACAGCAATCCGTTTAGTTACCGTTCCGAAATTACAACGGCGCTGACTTGTGACCATTTTTCACAGCTACTACTTGTTGTAGCACCCCTAGGTTCAGGGGTTCAAAATTCGGACACTTGGCAACGGACCCGTATTTATGACGGTCGCATCGCCCTGGAATCACGTGATTTCCCCTTTTGTGACCTTCTGACAAACAGCAGGGAAGCCAGCTTCACTTAACAACCGTGTTTACTAGCTTGACAACTGCAAGGATTCACTTAACATCTCTGGAAAGAGAGGTCGTAAAACGGGGCAAAATTCACCGAACGACTATCCCGCTTAGCAACGGAAGCTTTGGGCTCAATTGTGGCGGTAGGTTGTCCCTCTATATATTTTTACCGCTTATAATATTTCATTTCTTACTCTCGGCTGAGAGACTTTTATTTTTTATTTTCAGCTGAGATTATTATTTTTTTAATACATCTGTGGTTTGCAGACTTTATCCAGAGGGCAACCATTCTCTTGCTTTGAAGTCCTGCTTCAACATCAGCCCCAAGAGGGACCAAAAGAAGAACTAAGAAGTGTTAGATAGAACTAAGGAGAAATTTTCTGAGAGTGGGAACAATTAACCAGTGGGACGGGTTGGCTGCAGAAGTTGGTGGTGATCCATCACTGTCTCACCTAGGCAAGAGAAATTTTGAGAGAGAGAGAGAGAGAGAGAGAGAGAGAGAGAGAGAGAGAGAGAGAGAGAGAGAGAGAGAGAGAGAGAGAGAGAGAGAGAGAGAGAGAGAGATCTCCCTGCCTAATCTGTATACCAGAGATAAGGTTTTATTTTTTCCCCAGCAAGGAAGTTTCATGCTTGAAAGCAACAGAGAAGGAAGGGCCCTTCAAAAGACTTTTCAGCCTAGGCAAGAGAAATTGAGAGAGACAAAGAGAGATAGACACACACACACACACACAACACACACACACACAACACACAATCTATTACATATTACTATTACATCAGAGGAGCCCTTCAAAAGACTTTTCAGCCTAGGCAAGAGAAATTGAGAGAGAGAGACAGAGAGAGATAGACACACACACACAACACACACACAACACACACACAGAATCTATTACATATTACTATTGCATCAGAGAGAGCCCTTCAAAAGACTTTTCAGTCTAGGCAAGAGAAATGGAGAGAGAGACAGAGAGAGATAGACACACACACACACACACAACACACACACACAATCTATTACATATTACTATTACATCAGAGGAGCCCTTCAAAAGACTTTTCAGCCTAGGCAAGAGAAATTGAGAGAGAGAGACAGAGAGAGATAGACACACACACACACACACACACAACACACACACAACATCTATTACATATTACTATTGCATCAGAGATGGAGCCCTTCAAAAGACTTTTCAGTCTAGGCAAGAGAAATGGAGAGAGAGACAGAGAGAGATAGACACACACACACACACACAACACACACACACAATCTATTACATATTACTATTACATCAGAGGAGCCCTTCAAAAGACTTTTCAGCCTAGGCAAGAGAAATTGAGAGAGAGAGACAGAGAGAGATAGACACACACACACACACACAACACACACACAACATCTATTACATATTACTATTGCATCAGAGATGGAGCCCTTCAAAAGACTTTTCAGTCTAGGCAAGAGAAATGGAGAGAGAGACAGAGAGAGATAGACACACACACACACACAACACACACACAACATCTATTACATATTACTATTGCATCAGAGATGGAGCCCTTCAAAAGACTTTTCAGTCTAGGCAAGAGAAATAGGCAAGAGAAATGGAGAGAGAGACAGAGAGAGATAGACACACACACACACACACAACACACACACACAATCTATTACATATTACTATTACATCAGAGGAGCCCTTCAAAAGACTTTTCAGCCTAGGCAAGAGAAATTGAGAGAGAGAGACAGAGAGAGATAGACACACACACACACACACAACACACACACAACATCTATTACATATTACTATTGCATCAGAGATGGAGCCCTTCAAAAGACTTTTCAGTCTAGGCAAGAGAAATGGAGAGAGAGACAGAGAGAGATAGACACACACACACACACAACACACACACAACATCTATTACATATTACTATTGCATCAGAGATGGAGCCCTTCAAAAGACTTTTCAGTCTAGGCAAGAGAAATGGAGAGAGAGACAGAGAGAGATAGACACACACACACACGCACACAACACACACACAACATCTATTACATATTACTATTGCATCAGAGATGGAGCTCTTCAAAAGACTTTTCAGTCTAGGCAAGAGAAATGGAGAGAGAGAGAGATCTTATCATGCCCTTTCCTTCTTATCGTCTCTTGGAGGTCTAAGTTGGCACAAGAGCGCAAACAGCTGGCTATGCCAACAAAAGGACTTTCTGCATTGAAGTTAGTTTAACACCCTGAATCGGCCGTTCTGTTTTGTGCTGGTAAAGGCATTAACCAACAGGGTCACCCAACCCCCTTGTTAAAGAGTTCCCATGCCATCCTAATTCCTACTGACTCCCCCCCCCCCGTTGCCCGTCGTAGAATCAAGCTTTGTGCCCACACCAACTTCCTATCAGTCTTTCGACGGATCAGAACTTAACTGCTTATGTAACTTTTTGGAAGTTGAACCGGGAGTCCCGTGTGCTTCTGAGTCAACCCGTTACCCCTCCCCTAGACAGACGTCATCCCCCAAGGGGTGGATTTCCAAGGAAGATCTGCCTCAATGGGGGGGGGGACTATTGCTCCAAAAACAAACTTGGGAAACTTCTGAAAAACAAAGAGCTTCTCTCTTTTTGGGGCAGTCCCAGAGGAGATGGGGGGGGTTCAATATCTTCTCCAAATCACCTGAAGGCAGGACAGGAAGTTAACAGTTGGAAGCCGGTCAAAGAGAGATCCAGCTTAGAACCAAGGACAGGAGGAATTGTGCTGACGGAACGGCTTGCCTCACAAAGTTGTGGGTGCTTCACCCACTTTTCAAGAAGAGACCGGACAGCCTTTTTGTCCAGGAAGCTAAAAAGGATCGCCTGCTGGAGCAGGGGGTTAGACTAGAAGACCTCCGAAGGTCCCTTCCAGCTCTGTTATTCTATGTTCTGTGCTTTGGCCTTTCCTGTCTTTTCGTCGTAATAGCTATCACTCGGAACAACTGCCATTTTTGCTAGTATCTTTTCTCCTGTAAAGTGGATTCCACTCAGGGTCACAAGCCACATCCTGAAAGAGGGAAAAATTTCTCCTGGGAGGTCGTCCTAGTGGTTATTGAGGGATCTTTGGAATTAATGTGTGGTTGAGCAATTGTTTTAGTTTATCTCGAAACGGGAGGGTAAACTTTCACCTCCCTGTTGTACCTTTGAAACCAGGAGAAAAGAAACAGTGGCAAACAAACAAGGAGAACTTAACAGCTGATGGGAACTTGATCTCAACGAGCCGATTTACAGAATAACAGAGTGATGAAGAGGCAGAAGCTTGCTTCACCTGAGGCATAGAATATAGAATCAGAGTTCGAAGGGACCCTGGAGATCTTCTAGTCCAGCCCCCTGCTCAAACAGGAGACCCTATACCAGTGGTGGCGAACCTATGGCACGTGTGCCAGAGGTGGCACTCAGAGCCCTCTCTGCGGGCACGCGCGCCATACCCCAGAGATGGCAACCGTCGCTCTTCAACCAGCCGCCCGCTAACTCGCCAAGGTCCCACGTGGCCGGATACATCCCAGCACCCATGCGCTCGCTGGCCTCTGTGTGCAGGGGCCGATGGTGTCAGGCAGCCACCGCCCCGGCCCCTGCCTCACCTTGTCCTGTGACAAGGGCACCCCCGCCCTGCCTCACCTTGCCTCACCCTGCAGGATGAACCTCCTGCCCACTGCCCCACCAGCCAGAGACCCCCTGGATCTCCCCCAACCCTGTCCGGCCCCCACAGACGTCCCTCCCCACGAGCAACATCGAGGTGATCATGCCCACCTTGGCCACACCCACCCAATCTGCCATGACCACCACAGCCACGCCCACCCAGTGGGCCACGCCCACCTGGCACCCAACGATAAATAAGTGGGTTTTGGGTTGCAGTTTGGGCACTCGGTCTCTAAAAGCTTCACCATCACTGCCCTATAACATTTCAGATAAATGGCTGTCCAGTCTCTTTTTGAAAACTTCCAGTGATGGAGTCCCTACAACTTCTGGAGGCAGGTTGTTCCACTGATTAATTGTTTTGTCGGGAAATGTCTCCTTAGTTCTAGGTTGCTTCTCTCCTTGATGAGTTTCCACCTGTTACTTTTCTTGCCTTGCCCTCAGATGCTTCGAAGAAGAGGTTGACCCCCCCCTTCTTCTCTGTGACAGCCCCCCAAACACTGGATGACAGCATTTGAAACCTGCATTATTTTCCCCCTTGGTGAATTTTAAATCAAGCCATCATTCCTGGGTTATGTAAACTTTATGGCCTGGCCCCACCCTGCCCAGATTCCAGATGTCTCGGAATGGATGGATTTTCCGATTCAAGTCAGCAGAGCCAAGACCCCAATGTTCAACGTAGATCTAGCTCGCCCACTGTTGTGGCCCACGGTGTGGTTTGTTTCATTTTCTGTTCTGACCCACAATGTGGCTTGTTTCATTTTCAAAGCCAGCTGTTCTGATCTGGAAACAATAGCTGGGGGCTTAAAGTGTTGTGTTGCCAACTCAGCCAACAGCGGTTTCTACTATAAATACCGGTCAAGCAATGTAGGGTGGTCTCCTCTCCCTGGGGCTTCCCAGAATGTTTTCAGCGGGTCTGACCCTGGTTCCGATCCATCACGTCAGTCCCAAAACAGGTCCCTGAAGTTTTGTTGACAGTGCATTTCAGAAACAATCTCAAATCAACCCTCTGAATTTGTGCCTAAGGCAGGGTTGGAATTTAGTCTTCCCTGCTTCTAACCCACTAGGCCTGTCCAAGCCTCTCATCTTTCTCCCTTTGAGCATATTTCCAGCGATTAGCAAGCAAAGTGGTTAATTGTCTGAATTACACGTTTCTCTGCCACGAACTTTCCAAACACATTGTTTTAGCGGAACTGTTTGGGACAACACCAGATCTCCGGGGAAGTTAGCTCAACGGGGCAACAGATCTGTGGATTTTGCTGCGACAACCCAACCCACCCGACTGTCCCCTGACCCATTTAATCCAATGTTAAGAAATGGATCTATTGGAGAAGTTAATTCTATTCTGAGACTTTTTGAAGTCCTGCAGGGGTTTTTAGCAACGGCAATTCTGAAGACATTAGGAAGAGAATGCCAATTGTGCCATGGACTGCTAAGCTCAGTGATCGAATACAGACTTTCTTAACGTTGCCAACTTTTAAGATGTGGGAACTTCAACTCCCAGAATTCCCCAGCCTCCATGCCAGCTGGGGAATTCTGGGGGTTAACGTCCACACATTATAAAGTTGACAAGGTTAAGAGGTTGTGGTCGAGCCTAAACGTCCTAACATCCATTTTTTCCTTGAAAAGCAGAACCACCACGATTGATAAGGCAACATTCGATGGGATTGGAAATATGAAAATCCATCACTTTCCAGAGCTTTTCTGATGCTTGGGAGAAGCAACTGTGACGAAGGCATCAGGCTATAGAAAGGAAGAATTCCAGTCCTATCTTAACCGTGAAAGCCAGCTGGGCGACTTTGGGCCAATCACCAGACGACGGTGAGTTCTAGTCCCGCCTTAGGCATGAAAGCCACATAGGTGACTTTGGGCCAATCACCAGGAGACGGTGAGTTCTAGTCCCGCCTTAGGCATGAAAGCCACATAGGTGACTTTGGGCCAATCACCAGGAGACGGTGAGTTCTAGTCCCGCCTTAGCATGAAAGCCACATAGGTGACTTTGGGCCAATCACCAGGAGACGGTGAGTTCTAGTCCCGCCTTAGCATGAAAGCCACATAGGTGACTTTGGGCCAATCACCAGGAGACGGTGAGTTCTAGTCCCGCCTTAGCATGAAAGCCACATAAGTGACTTTGGGCCAATCACCAGAAGACAGTGAGTTCTAGACCTGCCATAGGCATGAAAGCCATTTGGACCAATCACCAGGAGACAGTGAGGTCTAGTCCTGCCTTAGGCATGAAAGCCAGCTGGTTGGCTTTGAGCCAGTCCCTCTTTTTCAACCCAACACACCTAATAGGCTTGTGGTGGGGAAAATAAGGAGAAAAGAGTATCGGGTATGTTCTCTGCCTTGAGTTACTTATTAAGGGTGGGATTTTTAAAAAGTGAAATAAAATAAAACTGGACAGGAACCCCTTGGGGAAAAAAATCACAGCCTACAGACCCCGATTCCTGGACCGATTCAAAATCACCTCCCTCAGATACGAATGGGAGCCAGTTTTGGAAACCAACATTTTTAAAGATTTTTGTTGCTGCCGCCGCCACTCCCCCCCCCAGCCCGCTCCCCTTCACTAAACCACCTCTACAGATGTGTTTAGGCATTCTCTTCTCTCGGCTTCAAAACAACAAACCACATTACAGCTTGGGCCGCTGTGTGAGGCCCATTTGTGAACAAGGTTCTCCTAGAAAAAAAATCAATTCTGGCTCCTTTGACGGGGTGCCTTTGTCAAACATTGCCGGACTATCAAACCCTCCCCACATACACACATCCCTTGATGTTGCCCCCTTAGCCAGGCTTTTTTCTTTATTTTAGCAAAAAGATGGGTCTTTGCAATTTGAGGGACATTTGAGAGAGGAAGGATGGAAAGGATGCTTTGGAAAGCAAAGGGAAAACAAAAGAAGTCAAATGGCTTTGCTAAAGCTTAGGAGTGACTGGGGAGTAATCGGATTAATTATTATTATTATTTATTATTATTATTATTATTAACGCTGATCAGGCCAAGCGGGAGCCCGGTTCGAATGCATTCCCCTTTCCTTCGTGCAGATCCACACGACACACACCCTGTACCCCAACAGAGAGGCAGCGTTTTCAACTTTGAAAGGTTAAAAGCAGCATGTTTATTTGGGGGATCCTGATCCTCCGTTTCATTCATAGGCAAGTAAAAATAAATAAATAAACAAGGATCAATTTAGGGACTTGCAATAATAAAGAGTATTCAATTAGCGGTCGTGTGAAGTTACCACGGAACTGGAAAAAGTGACTTACGACCGGTCCTCCATCTTATGACACTTGCTGTATATCTCCACGGTCACGGAATCAAAATTTTGGATGCTTGGCAAGGGGGCATATTTACAATGGTTGCGGCGTCCTGGGGGAGGGGGTGTCGTGTGATCTCCATTTGCCATCTTTCCAGCCAGCTGACCACCAAAGTCCCTGGGGCGGGGGGGAAGTTAGATTCGCTTAGTGACTGCGTGATTCCAAATTTGAATTGGGGAAGTTAGTTCCCTGAGCGAACCAAAATGGCTTGCTTGCTTGCAGACCCACCTACCTTGCGAAGAAGATCCAATTGCCAAAGGGCAGCGGTTCCCCAACTGTGATCCTCGGACCCTCTGGGGGGGGGGGTTATGATGTCATCACAGGGGTGGGTCCATGAAGGTTCAAAGAAATGTTACGATCTAAATCTTTAAGTCTCGGTTGGGGGGGGGGGTCTGTGGCCCCAAAAGGTATTCAGACGGGGTTCAGGGCGAGGAAAAAGTTGACACCCACTGGCCAAAGGCATTGCCCCCCCTATACCTGCTGGAAGCCATCTGCATCCAGTTGCAATTTTAAACTCACTTACCTGGGAACTGATTTTTTGCACAAGCTGGTTCGGGATCATGTTGTTTATTATTTAGCACAGAGCACTTGGATAACAGCAGTGAAAATCTATCAAAAGGGGCCTGTAATGCTACGGGACGCGTGGGTTGCAAATAGTCAATTTGGTTGAGGGAGGAGGAATTCAAGAAATTATACAGGTTGTCCTCCACTTACCACCGTTTTATTTAGTGACCGTTCAAAGTGACAATGGCACTGGGGGGGGGAAGGCAACGTACGATGTGATCAAAATTCCGACTCCTATTTATGACGGTTTGCAGCGTGGGGGGGTGTCACGTAATCCCCTTTGGCATCCTTCTGACACACAAAATCAATGGGGAAGCCAGATTTACTTCACAAGCGTGTGACTAATTTAACAACTGTGGCAAGGAAAGTCATAAAGCGGGGCAAAATTCACTTAAACGTCTCACTTATCAACAGAATTTTTGGGCTCAGCTGTGGCCGTAAGTCAAGGACTACCCGTATAGGTTACAAGTTACATTAAGTTATAGGGTTGTGAAGATCAGGTTATTCCAATAGCAAGGGCACAGACACATGCAAACACACACACACACACACACACACAAACAACAACAACAAAAAAAACCCCACCATTTTTCTGTGTTTACACCACAGGAAAAAAAAGTCACTACTTTTCCCCGTCCTTTCGCAGCTCTTTTTGTCATTTTTGGTTTTTTTAATATATTCTTTTGAACAACAAAGCAACCCCCTCTTTGGATAAACACCTAAAAATCAATCTGCCATTAAAAAAAAAAAGATAATGTCATAAACCAGAGGCAAGGCTGATGGAAGCACAGGCTGAAAAAAATGGACACCAAACCAATCTCGATAGACTGCAATTCAACAGCAAGTGATAAGTTAAATACCAACTCAACCCCCCCCCCCCCCAAAAAAAAACCCCGGAAGTTTTTAGATGTTTTGGGACTACAAGCCCCAGAATTCCAAAAATTTCAGAATTCAGATGGTGGCGACCCAGCCAGGTAGGGGAAAGAGGGGAAGGTATGGTTAGTAAAAAGCTGCGTTAAGCCACAGACCATCTACAGAAGTGAACTCAACCACCCACAAAAGGGTTTGGATCAAACCTTGAATAAAAAACCCACCCGACCCCCCCCCCAGGGCTAAGATTCCTCCCAGCAGCAGTAGGTTTAACCCCATTCATTTGCAAATTAAAGATGGACTGAAAAAGTTTTGTTTTGGCCCCCAGAAACTTTTATCTCCCAAGCCTTGTATACAATATTCCCAGGGCTTTAGTTAAGTTCTTATCATTAGGAAACAAAACCTGGGGGGGGGGGGTGGTGAAATAAAAAAAAAGGAAGGCTTTGCAACCCCCCTTTTTTTTTAAAAAAAAATGCCAAGGGTCTTGTCTAAACATTTAAATAAAATGTATCACCCTATCAGCGGTTTGTTTTTTTTAAGGGGGGAGAGAATTGGATGTGTTGAAAAGGCGATTCCTCTGGGTTGCTTTGTTCTTTTTTTTAAATAAAACTAATCTAATTGCTGTAATGAGGTAAAGACGATAGGTTTCAAATGGTTCTGGGTAGAAATTGATAATTGCTACCCTACCTGTGTCAGTTTTTGGCTATGAGGCACATGCAAAAAACACAATCCCCATTGATAGGAATTTTGTTGCTGTTATCACTGTCATTCTCATTTCTTTCTAAACATTTTAGTTCTTCCCTCCCTCCCTCCCACTTTCTTTCTTCCTTCCTTCCTCCCTCCCTCTTTCTTGATTCCTCCCCTTTTCTCCCTTTTCCTTCCTTCCTTCCCTCCCTTTTCTTTCCTTATTTCCTCCTCCTTTCTTTTCTTTTTTCATTCTGTCTTTCCTTCCTTCTTTCTTTTCTCTGTTGGGTCTTTCTTTCTTTCTCTCTCTCTCTTTCTCTCTTGGGTCTTTCTTTCTTTCTTTCTCTAACCTTGCATTCTTGACATTCCATTTCTGACTTTTAAAACTATCTAGCAAGCTGGTACAAATCCTGCCTAAAAATGGGAGGTTTTTTTTTAAAAAAAAAAAAAACCCTGCAAGAGTCAACCTGTTGAGATGGGCTGGGAAAAGATTCCTCTATCTCCAATGTGAGCTGCCTTCCACAGCACATCCCTGTAACTACCCCCGCCCCCACACCTCCTTGCTCAGCAATTCACCCCCCTTTCATTTAAAAAGGAAAGATGTCTTCCAATCAATCAGTCAAAAAAAGAGGGAGCAACCCTGTTAGCCCTTCTAACTAGACTGTACCTGCAGCATATACTTTGCAGCTGATTTAGGGGTTTACACAACTTACTTTCCGGACACCTGAATTACCCTTTTCTGAATCACCAAGAAAGCAGGTGGGTGAGTTGAAAATGAAAACAACACGCCAAGCAAGCCTCCAGGTCAAAAATCTCATCACGATTAAACCTTTACACTGGCTGATTAAACCTTTACACTGGCCGTGCTTGGACCAGCTCTGGTGTCCCCACCACTCTGTAAAGGGCTATTTAGAAGGGAGATGGGAAGGAAGGAAGGAAGGAAGGAAGGAAGGAAGGAAGGAAGGAAGGAAGGAAGGAAGGAAGGAAGGAAGGAAGGAGGGAAGGAAGGAAGGAAGGAAAAGGAAGGGAGAGATATAGAGGAAGGAAGGAAGGAAGGAAGGAAGGAAGGAAGGAAGGAAGGAAGGAAAAGGGAGAGATATAGAGGTAGGAAGGAAGGGGGGGAAGGGAGATGGGAAGGAAGGAAGGTAGATAGGAAGGAAAGAAAGAAAGAGAGAGAGAGAGAGAGAAAGAAAGAAAGAAAGAAAGAAAGAAAGAAAGAAAGGGAGAGATATAGAGGTAGGAAGGAAGGGGGAAAGGGAGATTGGAAGGAAGGAAGGTAGATAGGAAGGAAGGAAAGAAAAAAGAAAGAAAGAAAGAAAGAAAGAAAGAAAGAAAGAAAGAAAGAAAGGGAGAGATATAGAGGTAGGAAGGAAGGGGGAAAAGGGAGATGGGAAGGAGGGAAGGAAGGAAAGAAAGAAAAGGGAGAGATAGAGGTAGAAAGGGGA